GGGTTCCCCCTGCGCTGAAGGCGAGTGGAGAGAAAGGTAGAGCTAAGGATAACCCCAGGAAGCAGCACTCGGGCTCTGCCATTGCAGATTGAACTTTCTATTTTCTTTTGTGTTTGCCAGCAGATTTTAACAGTCAGCGCTCTCAAATTTATGACACAGCAATAAACAGTTTAGTAGGCTATTACTGCATGATTTTATGTAGACTGGAGTTCAACACCAAATTTAAAATTATTAGCGTAATTATTGAACTACTAAATTACCAAAGCAAAGTCTCCGCTCGAAAAGTTATCCCAAGATAGACCTAATATTTCCAAGGCTCAGATAACACCCTTTCACAAGAACTGTGTTATTTAATTATTAGCATTTGCATTTACTGACGATTTTAAGATGCATTAGATGGGTTTTATTAGCAAGACTGAATACGGGGGTACATTGTTATATCTGACAAATTCATATATAAAAGTGATTCAGTAAGTGATATGCAAATAATCTGACTGTTGTCTTCTTGGTCTGTGCAGTATTGTCTATTTTAGGGGAAAGAAGCGGCCCGATTTTCCCCCCCTCCGTCAATGGCTTTCAGTGTTTTGGTTTTTGTTTTCGGTTTGGTTTCTTTTCCCTTAAAAAAAAGCCAAAAAGAAAAAAATCATTTGGGCCCGATTCCGCTACAGTGAGGTCAACTGTTAGTCTCTTATTGCGCTAGTGGTGGCAGGATTGGGCCCCGAATAACCGTTTGAATAAAAGCCCAACCACAATACTCCCTGCATTTAAACTGGAACACTTTCCGCGTTTTATTCAGCAGAGATGAACACCACGACTTGTGTTTAATGTCTGTTCTTGATTAAATGATCCTAAACAAAGGTTTCCCAGAGGAAAATAAAGCAGACATTCATGTAACAAGAATTTGGAATGACAGTATTTCCAAACACTTGGAGACAGAAGGCATAGTTGTCTACGAGGAAAAAAATTAAAAAAAAAAAAAAAATCACACACACACACACACACAAAAAAAAACAACAAAAAAAAACCCAACCAAAAAAATCAACCGCACGCTTTTATTTCTCAGCTCCCTGTGCTCTTCATCCGGGTGGCAACCCACACTCCGCGAGGAGCCCGAGCCCGCTCCATCCCTGCCCACCCCTCTCCGGGGCTCTCCCAGTGCACCCGACAAACTATGTATTGCCAATGAAGGCGCAAAATACCTCCCCCTGCACTCCCCGGTAAGGTGTTGTTTGTTGCTTGTTTACAGGGAGCCCCGAAAAGAAACCGCTCGGCCGGGGCGGTGGAAGAAGCTGGGAGCGCCTCAGCCCAACCTTGCGCAGCTGGAGAAGGTAAGAGTCGGTCAGCGGCCGCTGCTTTTGCGCCGGTGGCTGCTGTAAGAAAGCGATTTGCCTGGTATCTGCATGAAGAACAAGCCTGCTGGAATGAGATTTTGTTGTTGTTGTGATAAATATTTAACCTAGCTGGAATTTTTTTCTGCATTGACTCTATTCATCTTCCGTGGGTGGTGAATGCGCGTGTCTGGGCAGACAAAGAAGTGTACGGGACCTGAGTGATCGCCATCCTTATAAAGGCATTGGGAACAGGAAGGATGCAAAGTCATCTGAAGAGCGAAGGAGTTAGAGAATTTCTTTGTCCATTCTTAGCTCCTTCCCAAATCAAAGGCGCAAGGCAAGGGAGAGAGGGTTGGAGCCGGTTCGGTGTTGAGTGGCTGCTTATCGCGGCTTGTCTGTTCGCCTCCTCCTCGAGGAGTTCCGCAGTCAGTTCTGCAAACGTGGAGTGCATGTGGGGATGTTAGAAAACCTGATTTTTGCCTGCGTGCATACACCAGAATGGTTCGCGAGTAAATTTCGGGTATTTGTCTGGCTTGGCCTGCTTTGCACTGAACGGAGGTCAGTGTCTGGTGGTTCGGAGTTGTTGGAGTCTTTTATGTGCTTGGTCCTTTGGCAGGAGAAATGAAATGCTTTCCATAGTGACAAGTTTTTCATGCCAGCCGCCGAGAGGGGAGGATTACACAGAATTAGCTCAAAATCCTGCTAGATTTACCTGCTTATTTTTGGACGTTGATGTACAATTAGTGTACTTTACTACCTTTTAAAAGCGGCCATAAATTACAGAACTACAAGGGCTCTTTGTGTTGGCTTAATGGGCTGCTTAAATCTTAACTACAAAAAGGCACTGCGAATGTCCATTCACGCTTGTGTTCGGAAATTGAAAGCGAAAATACGGTAAGAAGGAACCTTCCTCCAGTGGCATGTACCCACAGCATTGCGTGCAGATATTTGGGATTCCTCGACGAATCCAGCACTGGCAGACTCTGACTCTGCTGACTCTGAGCAGAACTTCTCACACAAGGGCACAGTCGATAGTTCTACTCTTTTTATCTACTTGGAAATGATCAAAGACCAAGTTTATCTCTATCAGACTCACGGGTGTAGGTAAACAGCTCTGCATCCCAGCAGATTTCAAATCTTTCGAGGGAACAAGGAAATAAGTACTTGTATCGTATGGTGATTCCCATTTCATCTCCACATGGGAGTGATAGGCACACCTCTTAACAACTATCATAAGAGTAGACTTGAAACACAGTAAAAATCCTAAATCTAATTATATCGAAGACAACTTTAAATAGTATTAATGCCAGGAGTGGCTATTGATGCCAGAGTGGCCACAAAGGGTCTCTCTTAATGAAGGTACGTTATGAACTCAGATCTGTTTGTTGTTACTGAGGCTGGAATTTCAGCTCAGCTCGAAGCCATGTGTATAAAGCGCAGAAAAATCAGTAGCAGACCTACTGATAAACTCCACATTTTTCTCCTAGAAACGGTGTTTCGGGTCTCCAAATCATCGAGGTAATAAAACACAATGTTGAACGTCCAGGAACAGGAACAAAGCAATAAATAGGGTGGTGAGGGAAACCTAGCGCCTGCGACTCGCAAGATCATTTGAATTTGTATCTGAAACTTCGTAATCATGCTATCAGAGCAAAGAAAACTTTCTCCAAATTCGGCGGAAGGGAATAATTTTCAGCTGCGATCCAGGACAGTACAAAGTTAGGCAGACTCCCCCCCTCTGCCCTCCCAAAGCACACCCTGTGAAAGGTATTCACAAGTCAAGAAGTTACTTTTCTTAAGAATTAATTAGTTTCCCCACTATATACATGAAGTTAATTGTTAAACAGTAGTTTTAGGATTAACCTGACCATTAATACTAATAAAGATGTTCATAGAAACAGCGTTTTGAAGCCAATAGTCACAGCTAGCGTTAAGGCATTTAAGCTGACTTATGGTGGTGATTTATTGCTTTTGTAGTTTCTATTTGCTCAGGACTGTAACTTCTAAAGCCATCTTTCTGCTTTTGACGCAAAGCAGTCGATAACTTTTTACAACAGCCCCAAGACAGGCTTGCTTTACTTTCTTCATCATCTGCTCCAATCCCCAGTAATTTCAGTTTCATTGTTGCAGAATAACTTCTCTGTATGTTTCTTCTATGGGACGTAAATGCACCATATTTAAAAGAACCGTGAATCCATCTCGAGCAAATATAGGCCTTGGTTTATGTTAAGTATGAGAGCTGTGGAGTTACCACGAGTTCTGATAGTCACAGACTCGGGTATGTTGAGTGTACCTTATGCTTTCTCTTTTTTCAAAGGTCTATAGTTTTTATTCCAGTTCTTAGTGAGGGATAATAGACGTATACGCTGATACTAGCTTAATCACTTCCATATGAAAAATTGCGAATTTTTCTCCTGTTGTAATTTCATGCTGACTTTGCTGCAGTAGCCACTACTATACACTGTTACGAATGGGTTTATGTTCCAGTGGCCCACTTTTACAATCCAGGGAAGAGTATATAAGGCTTGGCCATATCACTAAAAATCACGTTTAAAAAGAAAACTCCTTCCATTCTGTTCAATGATATGCAGGTGAAACACTAAGAGGGAATATGTAGTTAGCTTCTTTGAACTTATGGGAGATGGTGGAAAGATTTAGGTTAGGGTGTATGCATCATGATGTACAATGCTGGAGTCACAAAACTGGACCAGGAGAACGTTAAAAGAATGAACTACCTGTTTTACTTTGATTCCTTCTAGAAAAGTTATGTGAGTGGAGGGTTTCTTTTGTTTGTTTAGCTTATTGTGTCAATAGAACAAGTTAAACAATCTAACAGGGAAGATGTGATGTGTTCACACACAGGCGAAGCTGCCAGGCTCAGGGGTTGCATACAACTTCGCTCTTCTCTTTTTTTCTTAATTTTTTTCCCCTTAGGCAAAGAGCTCCCCCTCCTCAATTTTTTTTCATCATTAGCAACCTATAATTTTGTGCATCACTCAAACTAGCTGTATAGGAAATGCGTAAGCACAGGTTTAACAGCAAGGTCCCAAAAGATTTTGCAAAATTCAGAGGCACGCCAGTGAAGGAAGGTGTATTCTTCATAGGGTGTTACGAGGACAAAAATCAACTAGCTTCTTAGAAGAGACGGTCTTTTGCCTTTGTCAGGTAATTAAAGGTCTTTTTAGTTTCTACAGGAGCCCTGATGTAGCGAGTGGGAGTTGAGCAAGCCCTGTACAATAGCAGCTGGGGGTGGGGGGAAGGCTGGTAATCGTCCCGTTTAGAAGAGGGCTGGAAATAATAGCATTAAGATTTGGGTTTTCTTCGGGAGTTGCGGAGGATATGCGACGTGGAGCAGAGTGGCGGGCCTGGGGAGCAAATGCCGGTTAATTAGGCTAAGTATCAAAGTGCAGCGTAATCCCATATTATAAGAAGAATTCCGCTTACCTTCCAATGGGCTTTGTGTAAAGAAATATTGGTGTGGGAGGAAAGAGAATCAAACCAATCTCCCCCCCTCCCCCAGTCATCTGCATCTCTTAGAATTTTTTTTTCTCCTCCCTTAAAACTCTTCTTTAACATATTGGGTTAAGGCTTTAAAAAGCGAAGGCTCGCTCTAAGAAAGCCAGTTCCTTCAATGATTCCCTATTTCAAATAAAAGGATTTAAGTTGACGTATGACCACGTGAGCACATAATACAGCGCATTATTGTGGCATTTGGAGTGGAGACCCGGTCTGGCTCCGTCTGCGATTACGCTTTTCCAGTTTCTGTTCAGAGCAAGCACTGCTTTCTATTATTCTTTTTTTCTCCTGCCCCCATCACCGTCCCCGCAAGAGCTGGCCATTTCGCTGACAGCTTTCGTTCCTTATGGAAAGGTTATTGTGGAGCCGAGAGGACGAAATGCTTCGTTAGAAAGGATGGATTTTATTTTAAGGTATTTCCGTTGATTGTTCATTTATGTGGTGAGTTATTGCTGTTCGAGGCAAAGGTCAGTAGCAGAGGCTGGAGTGAGTGCGTGTGTGTGCGTGCGGGTGTGTGTGCACCCGGACCCAGGCTGCTTCCCCCTTTGTTTCAATTTGCTGCGGTAAATATTCAACTCTACCCTCGCAGCGAGCAGAGCAGGGAGAGTTTGCTTCTTTATTTATTTTTCTCCATAGAGATCCCACACTGCTGTTGATGGCCAGCTGCCTCTGCTCCAGCCCCTCGATTGCCATCTTATCATTATTTATGACCGGCTAGAGATCGGAAGCCTCTTTTATTGTCATGTTTGAAAATTTCTCCCTTAATTTTATTCTATTATTTTATTTGTGTGTTTTAGTGTTTGTTTATTTATGTATTTGGGCAAGTCGGAGAAAACTATGCGGGGGGTGTATGTGATGCTCCTCGGTCGGGGTCGTGCTCGAGTGTGCGGCGGCGGTTGTTGTTTTATGGGTGTTTGTTCGGCCGCTGCCGCTCCGTAAATCGATGACTGTGCGATCGTGCTGCCATTTTATTTATGATGCTTTAGTGGTACTTTGTTTACTGTGAGCGGAGCGCTGCATGGGCGCTCAGCAATATGGCAAAGCTTCTCCTTCCCAAATGAGCCAAGGGGCTCCTCTTTATTTCTCCGCGGTGAGAAGGAACAAGCCAGCCACGGCTTCTAACAATAAATCAACCTTGCAAATGTGCGGGTTTATTCTGTCTCTCTGAAAGGGGATCTGGAAAGAGAGAATAAAAAGGAGAGGACTGGGAAGTACCTTCTAGGAGGACCTAAATTCATATCCGTCCCGTCGTTTACATAAATATAGATATATCTGTATATATAAATATGTGAGTATTTGCATATACTTATAAATATGAATGCGCATATATATATATATATATATATATATGAAGAATGCGCTTTAAATGACAAAAAAGAAAGAATATTTGGCTATCCAAGGAGGGCAAAATGCTATATGAAACCATATTTCTCCAGTGTGTCCCGGCTTTGGGAAAGGTTGGAGCACTGGGGTTGGCTTTCCTCCACATCTCTCGCCTATTCCTGTTGTACTATTTTGTGTCCAGTTACCCGGTGTTTTTAATTGCTCGTCTTCTAAGCGGTCAGAAAGGGAAGGGAAGGAAAGAAGAAGAAAAGCGAACGATGATAAAATCTCTGCTGAAAACAACAACAAAAAAGGTTATTTCCACTCGGAGCTGCTCGCGGCCGTTCTGCAGAGATCTGCAGGGTGATGTTTGGGATGGTCTCACGTTTTCCTGTTCTTTAAAGCTGCTCTCAAAGCAGAACTGACCCTAATAAGTTATATTTCCCCTTCTCGCCATACTGAAGCACGTTGTCCTTTCTTAGACCCGGCGACTCTCTCTCTTCAGCGAGAGGAGGAGAGCTGTTTCACTCCCAGTTGTGTGTCTAAAAGCCAAAGCTGGCTTTACCGTGTTTTGAAATGGGCCAAAACGCGCCTCAAAAATAAAGTGCGAGCTTTAATTGCAGCTAAATTAGTTGGCAGCGTTTCCTCTGATTTATGGCCCAGTTCGGATGCATATTGACCCAGTTAAAACACTCATAAATAATACAGTCCTTCTCTAGAGCAAAAGAAAGCAAGAAGAGTTCTGGAGGAGAGGGGGATTTCGGCGAGTTGTGTAAATAACTTCAGTCTGTTGAGCAAATAGCGAAGGGTGCGTTGCCTCTCTAGTGTTAGAAAATATAAACAACAATTTAGACTGACCACGACTCGCTTCGATTGTCCAGTCCTTCTCTAATTCAGCTGATATTTCCTCCTAAATCTCTAACGACTTGGACAGGCACCAGTTCCAGAACTGCCCCCCTTCTCCAGCAACTCCCTACCTTGCTATTTCATCTCTAAGAGATCCCCCCCCAAACCAGCTTTGAACTATAGTGCTACCTGCTTCCATTTCGGGGCATCCAAGGACAAGGCGCTTTACAGGCATTATTTTATTCGGAAATTAGGAACTCCGGGGAGGGGAGGGGGGAGACAGGAGGGAGTCCCGCAGAGTGAGTCTCTTCGGGGAGAAAAGGCAGCTCATTTCTGACCCAGGAATCGGCCCCAAACGCCGCCCGTCCCTCCCCTAGCTGAGCCCTATCTCTCTCCGCGGAATGAAGCAGAAAGAAAATATTCGGCCTCTGGGAGGGAAAGACAGATAAAAACAGCGGGGATTTGTGCGTTGGAACACTTATTCTACATCATCGGAGACATAAAAAAAAATAATCATCTTCTCATGTTTAAAATTACCTCTTTGGGGAGAGAGGGGGCGTGGGGAAACAGGACTAATAGGAGAATCCTCGCAAAATACTCTTTGCAGGCAGTAAGACGAATGGAGGAAACACAACAATATTCCTATGAACCCTTTCCGTTCTCACGATTAAAGTCCTTGCAAATCCTTTCATTTTTAAAAAGACCTTCCCGCCACTCCCCTTCTCCTCTCTTAAATACAGACACGTAGTCAGAATATCCCGCTGGAGATGGCTCCCAAGTTGAAACGCGCTCCTCGGAAAAGCTCTCGTAGCTTTCGGCGGGGCTCCCCAAACCAGCAGGCTACCCCGTGTCCGCAGGTTTCGGCAGTCCCCATCTTTCTCTCCCAGTCCAAATCCTCCTCGCCAGTCCGAGGGGCTCCGTCGGGGCGCAGCGCTGCCTCTCGCTATTTGGCCGGGCAAGTGGGCGAATGGCAGATCAGCAGTTTCAGAAGAAAGTGTGGGGTTGATTATTGACTAAAAAGACTTTTTTTTCTTCCGATGCAACATTCATGGGATTGTTTGAAGCAAAACCCGTACGCGGGATTTTTGCCTCTCCTCTCCTCCTACGCTGGCCGCTTCCCCTTTCATGTGGTGCCTTCTCACTTATGCCATAAGGAGCAAGTGTTTTCTGTTTTAGTGCTCTGTTTACAGCTTTGGTGCACGAAGTCATAAATCTTGCATAGCCATAAATGACAAAAACCATTGGTATGCGTAAGAGGCCACCCCAGCCTTATAGTGCTTTTTATTTCTCGCTTCCCCCTGGCTTTGTTTGTGTTTAAAGATGACGCCGGGCTCTCTCGTGCTTTAAACGGACTGGTTACATTTGTAATGCCTTAATTAACGAAGTAATGTCAAATTTACACCTAGGTTTTATTCGGAGGTTCCGCTTAATGCAGAACGCAGAGCCCCGTTAACGTCTGCCAGACCGGCAGGGTCTGAAACTTTGTTTAAGTTCTCGTTTGCACGGTCGCTGCCGTGTTTCTGTTGCAGGAAACTGGGGGGACTCCACCACCCCCAAAACCCGTGGCGCTGAAGAAAGAGGCGAGGGCCTTCCCCACCTCTGCCGCGGAAAGAAGGCGAAGGCGAGCTGTGAGGCTCCGGGCCCACATCCACGCGGGGCTGACGCCCACACGTCCCCACGGGGGGCTGCGGGCACCCCGACCCGTCTGTGCAGCACATGTGTGTGTGTGAGCGCCTCTGTGCCCGTCCCAGGCGTTGGGGATATTTGGGGGGGGAGGGACGGGACAGGGGGGTGTCTGTGTGTACATCTGTGTGTGTGTGCGCTCACGCATGCATGAGTTAATAATTAGTAACTCTAATGATTTCCAGCGTGGCTCTGAAAGCATCGCCCAGAGCGGGGATCCTGGTGGGCTTCGGTTGGCTCTCCGGACCCTGCCTCGGCTCTCCGGGCTTTGCTCCCCTCCCCGGGACTCAGCCAGGGCTGTGCGGGGCTCCTGGCCGTGAGGAGAGGCAGAGGGGCTACTCTGCAGCCGCCCCCCAAGCCCACCGATAAGAGGGACAAACTCGAGGCCCCCCAGCAGCACCCCGGAGGCTGGTGAGAGCGACCCTTTGTGAGCGCCGTTTGTCTTCATTAGCATAATTTTCCTGGACTTTGGTGACGCCCGGGTGCGGGGGGGGCCGCACTCCTTCACTGCCGCGCTCCTCCGCTCCCTCCCCAGCCCCCACCCTGCCCTAGGCTTCCCCAGGCTGCCGCCTTTCTTTCTTCCTTCCTTTTTTTTTTTTATTTTTTTTTTTTTTTTTTTTTTCCTCCACTCCCCCCCTCCCCTCCACCCTTTCTCCTTCCCTCTCTCTCTTTCCTTTCCCAGAGCAGCCCTGGGAAACATCCCCGTCCTCCGTGCCCCGCGCAGGGGGAGGCCGGTACGCCGGGGACCGGCTCGGGGTAGGGTGGGCAGCCTCCAGCGTCAGGGGAGCGGGGAAGGCGGGTGTCCGGAGCAACCGTCCCCATCCGTGCGGGGCAGGGCTCGTCCCGGGTGCGGAGTAACTGAGTCGGTGCCCACCCCGCGGCCACAGGGATCAGGCTGAGGCAGACAGCCCCTGCTCCCTGGGTTGTGTCGCCTCCAAAAAAAAAAAAAAAAAAAGAGAGAGAGAGAGAGAGAGCATGCTGGCTTCCGCCTCAGTCGTCAGAAGTTAAGGTAAGCAGGCCACAAATACGCTGCTATCAGTCGTGAATGGCGGAGTTTATGTCCCAGTGATTTATGACCGTAGACTTAAATGTCGGTTCAAGAAGAGTTCACAAGCTGGGGCTTCCTTCCAGGCAGTGACTGATACCCTTACACTTCATGTTCAGGCAGCTCTCTCTGCTCTTTTCCTCCCACCCCCCCACCTTCTCTCAACTTCATCTTTATCTTTCAGGAAATCTTTCAGGGGGGCTGCGCGATTTTTCGTCCTAAAGTCAGAGTTCGGGGCTCGGCTGAGAGTTACAGGGCAAAGATCTGGTGTGCTTGGGAGGAGGGGAAAACGGAGGGAAGGAGAGGATAGGAGAGAGCTGAAGTGGGGAGTGGAGGAAAGCAAGCGAATTGCCTTCCCCAAGCAACTTTCATCTGCTGTCTCTGGGCCGTTTGGGTGGGGGGACAGAAGTTGGTAAATGGCAGAGCTGTGTACTGCACAAACGGAGATGAAGCCGATAAACCGGGTATTGGAAAAATCGGGGGCCCATCTGTGTTTGTGAGACCTGGCCTTTTGTATTCGAGGGGGAGAGGAGAACTCTTCCCCTCCCAGGCACCGGCTGGGGTGGTAAATCCACCCCCACCCTTGCTCCTCTCTCCCGTTAGGGCGCTATTATTATCGTGATCGTTGTCGCTCTTAATCCCGCTATTCCCGCTTTTTCCAGGAATGACCAGGCTCTCCTCAGGTTACCCCCGCTTCTCCATAACTTTGTAGGAAGTGATTAACTTGGCGAAGCCAAACGCGGGATCTGATTTTTTTGTTTTTACTTGCTGGCAGGCGGCCGAAACTTCAATAATATTTTTACTTCCGAGTAAAGTTGTCTATTGTCTGCGGGCCAGCAGCTGCGGGAGCATCCCCACTCCGCACTACCCGTCCTGCCTGACCCTCAAAACTTCCTAGCGGCCGAGGGAAGGCGAAATATTTGATGTCGCGATCATGAAAGGCGGGTGTCTTTGTAAAATCACCGCTGGTTGATTATTTCCTCCTTCTCCTCTGGTAGTGGTGTCTATATTCTCTCTTTCAAAGGAATTGAGAAAAATCACACCAGGCCTAGATAGCATCGGGAAGGAGAGGCGAGGAACTGGAAATTGTGTGCGCGCCTCAGATCTCCATCGCCTTATTAGCTTAATAGCATCCAAAGAGCTTGATTAGTGCAATAACAGGATAGCCACTCTGCTGTAGGTGTATTGCCTTCATTTTGTTACGATCTAACAAAAGGAGTACTGTTTTCTAAGAACCTGTATAACTTGAAAGGTGTAGAATGAGCTCGTTTGGTGCATATGTTGTGTAAGGCTTTTCGCCCCTAAGCATTTGTCCTCGTTAGATGTTTTTTGGGGGGGGAAATATCCAGCTGCTTAAGTACGGGGAAAGTGGTAAAAGAAAAGAGAGGCTCTTCTGATCTGAAAAGACATGGTTATTTGCCAGCAAGAGGGTAGGGGACGGTGAGGAACACACTTCAATTTCTGAGAACAATGTGAGTGCGTGTGGAAACAGCTCCTAGATCGGAGGTTACGCACAGGTCTTCTCTCATTAATACGGGTGATTCTTTAATTGGTTATTTTCAAGCAGGTGACCAGTAGACTTTAATCTGGGGAGAGAGGGGGGGTTGCGTGGAGGGGGGGAAATCCCAGAAAGAAAGGAGGATGGGTGACCAAAAAAAAAAAAAAAGGGGAGCGGGGGGTGGGGGGCGGTGGGGCGGGGAAGGGATTCGCCCGGGCAGGAGAAGCATTCTCTGGATTTGTGTCCACCCTCTCCCCAGCCAAGTGACCCTCATACATCAAATTACATAGCAGTTTCCAAGACAGAACCTATTATCGCTAAGTTGGAAGGAAAGTTCAAGCCGTGGTCATGGAGATGAACGCTGGTTTTTCAGGTTCCTGGTGTTTTTTTCCCCCAATCCATCATGTTTTAACAGGTAGGATCTGGCTGATTCCACGAAAAGTTAGTGTCTTGAAAATAACTGCTGGGAAAAAAAAAAAAAACACCAACCACGGGTGAAGCTCCCAACTTGCCCCTGCTGGCCTCGCAGAAGGGGCTTTGTGCGGCGGCGGGTGCAGTTAAGGCTCCAGACCCAGTCACGAGTGGGAGGAGGGCTGGAGCACTCCGGGGCCGAGAGGGAGCCGCTGCGGGCGTCGGTAGGGGCTCACCCGCGCAGAAACTGCCGCTGCCGGGGTGCGTGACCTGGCCGTTTCGGGTTGGGGTGCGAGCACGGAGGGGAGAAGGTGCTTTGTTTATTTTCCTATCGAGCATTTCATAGACAAGCTAAAATCCATCACTTGGAATCGGAGTGTTTACATATCCCTGCCTAGGGAACCTTTCCACCCCTCTCCTGCCCCCTGCCACACGTAGGCAGGAACAATCTCATGTATTTCTTTGAAGTTGTATAGAGAGTCGTAACCAGGAGAGAAAGGCTAAAAATAAAACGACATTGGTTACAGAAGAGAGTTTGATCTTAGAGTTGGAATGAAGTAAGAGCCCACCCCCTACCCATCACTGATTCCTCGATCACCCTTATCTCAGCGACCAGTATTAAAACAGCCTCTTGGTGATAAACGATCAACCCCCCTTGCTCTATTTCTTAAGAAGAAACAAATAAATAAATAAATAAATAACCCTAGAAAGCCCATATCCCGGTGCAGCAAAGCACATATTTGTAGCTGCCAGTAAATGCTCTGCGCCTGAGGCCAAGTCATGCTGCTAAATATTGCTGACCACTTTTTCTTTTATGGCTTTCATGTCACTTAGCTATTGAAAGTAAGATGGATTTGTACCATTTCTTCACCCTGCTCTACTCTCCCCACACCCCAGGTCTGCCTGGAGAGGCCATTGGAGGAAGAACGCCACGTGACAGAGGGGTGCCAATGTTATTCTCCAAGGGTGTCAAGACCCTGTCAGTTTGTGAAATAAATATTGGGAAACAACGAAATGCAAAAAGCGACCTACTACGACAGCTCTGCAATCTATGGTGCCTACCCCTACCAAGGAGCAAATGGTTTCACTTATAATGCGAGTCAGCAGCAATATCCTCCATCTTCATCACTTGTGGAAACTGAGTACCACCGCCCTGCGTGCTCCCTCCAGTCCCCTGGCAGCTCTGTGTCCCACCACAAGGCCAATGACATCAGTGAGAGTTGCATGAGGACCCTCCCCAGCCAGCCTCTCCAACCTCCTGGCCTCGCTGACCCACAGGCTCCGCCGCAGCCACCTCCAGCCCAGCAGGCACAACCTCCACCTCCATCCTCCACCTCACCATCTCAAAATGCCAGCAGCAACCCTACCCCAGCCAACCCCACCAAAAGCCCAGCTCTTAACTCACCCACCGTGTCCAAACAGATATTCCCGTGGATGAAAGAGTCTCGGCAAAACACAAAGCAAAAAACCAGCAGTTCCAGTTCAGGTATGAAACATGCTCCCCCTATCCCTGGGTACCCCTTGGCTGGCTATGCATCCAGTAGGGAGGAGGGCTGTCTCTACCCATCTTCACTTCAGGGAAGGGAGGGTGGGGGCGTTTTTGCTCTCTAAGTTGACTGCCTTAAGCTTTTGGAAAGGGGTTGCTATCACTTGGCTTATTCACTGAGGGGAGTCAGTGAACAAATCACCCCATACAAAACTTTTCCAGCCTTCCAAAATAGGCCTGAATTGACTTTGCTTCCTAGTGGCTGAACCACTTTTGCCCTCCCGCATCCATCGCATTTCCTTGGTAATCCCCCCTCCAGTAAATCATGTCAGTGTGGAACAGTCCAGGCCTTAAGCCAGAGTCTTGTCCTGAGTACTTTGTTGGCATGGTGCTGTTAGATTAATAAGACAGTGACCTATCTCTGCTGAAGTGTAACGGGAATAAAATAGCTCATAATCACATCCAGGCAGGATCAATGCCCTGCATGCAGTCAGAACCTCTTCCTATTTTAATAAGCTGATTGGCAAAGTTACAAGCCTGGTAAACAGAAATCATTCTGGAGTGCCGTAAACTTCAGCCCATAAAACATTATTTGAGGGATGGAAGTGTATATCAATGCTTTTATTACTGAAGGAAACCTAAATTGATAACATCAGTGCTAGCTCTAATGCCCAGGAGTTGGGTTTATTCTGACTTCTTCCTCTTTTTCACTTAAGTGTGCCTTGGAAAGAGAGTCCAAAACTTTAGCAATGGTCTTTGCCAGTCTGCTTTTTAAAGTCATGGTAACACTGCTGTTTACAACCTTCCATATCATGCATTTATTTTATTAAAAAGCAGTAAAGTTTCAGTATATCTATATGCCTATCTGCAAGCCTAGCCACTGTAGGATACTTCCCAATCACTACCATATGTTTATGCCATACACTAGACATGATAAAAACACTATACTGTCAATTCTATGTTTTTATGTTAAAATTTTATACCATAGATACCCAATTTTCAGACATTTCTAGCTTATACGTATATATATATATATATGAAATGGTATATTAAATGGTTTTCAGAAAAAGAGAGCTTCAGGTCTTTACAGAAATGGAGAACAGCTAGTTCTTGAAGATTCTGATCACACTATACTAGCAGAGCCATAGGTTCACCTTCAGACTTTCTAAACCTCACTGTATTTCCCTAAACCTTTCCTGCTCCTTTATGCCAAGTTCAAGATATGTTGCATGCTGTCATTCTTAAAGGAAGCAAGTGTAGTCATATAGTGACACTAATGAGGTGAAGGAAGTCTTTTGATGCTTGTTGCTTGGCACGATTGAGTTCATGCCATGGGGGAGAACTTGTTGCACACATGGGCATCCATCTTGTGCTTGAGAGCTGGACTCCCCCGGTGCTGGTGGTGTTGGCCATTTTCTCATGTTGCCGTGTCTAGGTTTGCCATGCTGATTGTGTTCTTTGTGTGATTTACATAGGTGAGAGTTGTGCTGGTGATAAAAGCCCTCCGGGGCAAGCCTCCTCTAAGCGAGCCCGTACAGCTTACACAAGTGCCCAGCTGGTAGAACTGGAAAAGGAGTTCCACTTCAATAGGTACCTTTGCAGGCCACGAAGGGTAGAAATGGCTAATTTGCTCAATCTCACGGAAAGACAGATCAAAATCTGGTTTCAAAACCGCAGAATGAAATACAAAAAGGATCAAAAGGGCAAGGGCATGATGACCTCTTCAGGAGGACAGTCCCCAAGCAGAAGCCCTGTCCCTCCAGCTGCTGGGGGATATCTAAACTCTATGCATTCTTTAGTAAACAGCGTCCCCTACGAGCCCCAGTCGCCTCCGCCATTTAACAAGCCTCATCAAAACACCTATGGCATCCCTGCATCGTATACCACTCCTCTTAATAATTGCCCACCTCCTCAAAAGAGATACACGGGAACGGCAGCTGTGACACCTGAATACGATACTCATCCTCTTCAAGGCAACGGTTATGGGAATCCACATATACAGGGAAGCCCCGTCTATGTAGGGGGCAACTACGTGGAGACCATGACCAATTCTGGGCCTTCCATCTTTGGTCTAACTCATCTCCCTCATCCTCCCTCTGCCAACATGGACTACAGTGGGGCTGGGCCAATGGGCAACAATCACCACCATGGACCTTGTGATCCACATCCAACATACACAGACCTTACTGCTCACCATCCTTCTCAGGGAAGAATTCAGGAAGCGCCCAAACTCACCCATCTGTAAGAGACAGGAGTCACTAAGTGGAACACCAAGCCCCCAAGTTTTGGAAAGTACTCATCCCTTCCCTTCTCTTTCTCCTCCCTCCATCATGTGCCCTCCCCTCCCCTTCTCGTTTCTTTTGTTCATTTTGGTTTGGTTTGTTTCCTTTCGTAAAAGCGTTTTCTAGTTTATGTGACGTAGCAATATTTGTTGCTTGAATTGCTCTATAGTTTCACTAGTGGATATTTATCTTCTTGAACTGTAGCCTTGTGTCTCACTTTGGGAGTATGCAGAGGCTTTATACTTTACCTTCTACACTTTTATCAAAACAGGGTATATGAACAAATTTTCTATAAAAGGAATTCTTAAATGTGAATTTGTTCGTACATGATTGATCCCACGGGGAAGCAATTTTTTTTATTGCACTTCTTTTAAATAGCAAGAAAGACATCACAAGCGCTTGGACAGGGCCTCCCTGGACAATTATTGATACGTGTAAGTCTTTCAATGTGTGTATGCTGGTGAACATTCAGATTTATTTATATTTTTTTTTGCAAACATTGAATAATCTAAGTGTTTAAAATTTTATTTATCCCCATTTGTTCATATTTATATATATATAAAAAAAATCTGTACCCTGAATATTCAGGCGGTATTTACCTGGCCATATGTTAGATGGCATATCGGCACGTGTTGGAAATATCATTTGAAAGGAAACTAGTAGCTCCTTTTATTAAAAATGGTGATAACGATGATGATGATGATGCAATAAAATCTGGGAAAAAAAGATCACGGTTTGAATACTTTATGCTTGTAACATCCAGCTAGGTGAAAAGCGTGTGAAGCTGAAAAGGCTAGATTTGTTTTGAAAGTTATACATTCCTTGCTGCTCACGTTCTGGAAAAAAAAAATAAAGTTTTTATTCTGAATAAGAAAGAGTTAAGAACATGTTCTTCACAGCTCAGGGGAAGGGAGAGCCCTTCATGACGTGGGGAGATAGGAAACTCGCCTGTAAACTCACACGAGGATCTGATCGCCCACCCGAAGGGCCCCGAGACGCCTTTACAGCATTTCTTAGGCATGGAGAGAGAGTTTTCTTTTCCTCTCCCTTTTCCCTCTATGTTTCTCTCTTTTTTTTTCTTTCCTTCCGCGGGGCTTCAGGGCCCGTGGCTGCTGCCTCCTCCCGCACCCGCTGCGCGGTGCCCGCCCGGCGCGGAGGGCAGGCGGGCGCGGATCGCCCCCTCCCCGCGGGGTCTGAGGGGGGACCGGCGGCGGAGCAGAGCGAGGAGGCCAGCGGGGGTGTGTGCGTGTATGTGTGTACAAGGGTGTGTGTGAAGCACATGGGAGCAGAGCTCAGGATAAAGCTCTGCGTGGGTGCTGGCGCGGAGGGGTCGCCTTGTTCCTGGGCTGACCCGCTGCGGAAAGAGGGGAGCCGGGGCTCCGGAGCCCCGCCAGCACTGGGGAGCAGTGGTGGTAGAGAAGGGTCCGGCCGAACCGCGAATGCGGCTGGGGCGTGGATGTGCACTCTGCTACTACTTCCACCCGCCATCCCCGCCGTCGTTTTTAGCTTTTCCTTTAAGAAGTGGATTTTTCCTTTTACCTTTTTTTTTTTTAAAAAATAATTAGTATTTTTATTATTTTATTTGGACCTTGTTTCATTCTTGCCGAGCCGTCTTTCCTCCCACCGTAGCCTGAAGCTGTGGGGGAGGGGAGCCTTGTGTTCCCTTTCTTCCCTCGTGGGGGTGTGGATGTGTGTGCGTGTGTGTTTGTATCGCAGGAGGGGGACACGGTACTGTAGAAGGGCGACTGTCCCGACCCCAAACGGGCACCCGTAGGGGTCTCCGGTCCGAATCAGCTCGAGGTAGAAGGGAGAAACCCGCAAGTTTGTGTTTAAATCCCATTTTTCTTCCTTTCAGGCGAAATGTCCATAATTTTCAGATTGAAACTTGAAAGATAAATCAAAACGGACCTTAATATACTAGGTAAAATACACCCCTGCATGTTTATAAAGACATATTCCTATGCTATGTAGATAATAATGTACGCTGTTCACCATCTGTATCTTTTAGAGCACAGAAAAAAAATGTCGCCATTTTGGTCTCATACTGAAATATTATTAATCTTTGGGCTTTATCTTGTTCCCAGAACCATCCTTGCCTGATGCTGAAACATTGTCATGCATCCGTGAATCTATACAGAGCTTTTCTGCATAAATAGATAAAGCGTGCTCAGTCAAAGAAAAGAACAGCAAATAGATTTATACCGTGCTGTTTATTGTATATGCAGACATGTAACCGTGGAAAGAAAGGCTATGTAGGCTGATATTTTTCATTGAAAACTGATTACTACCCAATACAGACCGAAGACTGGTTATTATTTTTGTAGGCAAAGGAAGCGTTTTTGCCACATTTCAAGACATTGCTCGTTTCAAAGGAGCGCCCGTATAAAATTCAAGCCGCCCCCCCCCTCTCGGATCAGTTAGGTTAGATACAACAAAAGGTAACGGTACAGTCACGATACTTACTGCGTGGTTCCTTTAGCACCACGAGTTACCTTAAGGAAAATGCTCAAAAAGAAGGAATTTGACGTTTTACTCCCCTCCCACTCGAAGAAAGAAAAATACAGGCGATTTTGTCCCCTTCTTTCCATAAACAGTATTAAATCCCTTCTTCGAACCCTGTAGGTTGCACATAAGAATTTGTAATTTCGCTTTTAAGATTCGCCCGATTAAAAGATCCCCCTGGAGGCAGCAGTAATTGATTTCCCCAAGAATTTTGCGTCCTCTCGCCAAAGGTTTTGTTCCAGGTGGTTTTTGTATTAGACTAACCACAAGAAACAAATGTGCAGAATAGAGACACCCACACAGGTTTTACTCACAAAGCCTGGTTAAAGTCCAAACCTCTCTCTTTATTATTTGTCATCCTGCTGTTAATCCCAATATTTTCCAGAGGGGAAAAAAATTAAAGAAAAGAAAAAGAAAAACCCGACCCCAGCGTAGGCATCAAGAAGTAAAATAAAACTGGACTTTCCCCAGCAGCTCAGTCCTCTGCCAGCATATTTTAAAAGCAGCTTTTTGTCTTGTTTACTTGCGTTTCTTGCTCTGCCTCTTTTCTCGGCCACATTTGATCTTGGAAAGACCAAGAAGCTTTAAATGTGTTCTTAAGGGCCAGTAAGCTGTCAAACCTTTTGGCGGCCAAGATTGATCGCGCACAGACACCACCAGAGCTTTGTTTGGACTAAAAGCAAGAAAATTAAACCCCTTGCATTTTCCAACAGCATCGATATTTGTAAGTCATCCCTTTTGAGGGATTAAATGACAAGTCTCGTTCTATATTTTATTTAAACAAGCAACCACCAAAAAGCCCATTTAAAGCCTCCCGGCCCCTCCCCTCCCCCTCTCTCCAATGCCTTCGCAGATATGCTACATCTTGTGGGTGCATTAACTTAAAACCTATTTTTTAAATGCACTTCGTGCAGACTGGACGCAGACTGAACCGCTGAGTGCTTGGGGTCTTGTTTTCTCTTTCCTCCCCCCCCGCCTTTTTTTTTTTTTTTTTTTTTTTCCTCAGTAATTACGAAGACTGTTGCCGACCCGTTTGGCAACTCCGAAAATAAAGCGAGACGGCACCTCATCGCTCTGGCTATCGTTCCTGGCTCCTGGAGGACGCGGAGAGCGACTCGGAAGCGACTTCCCCTCGGCCCCCGGCGCACCCTACCCTGCTGGGCACTCTGGGTTCCGCGGGAAAGCAAGTCCCGTCCAGGCTGCCCAGGGCGGCTGTGACCATAGGATTCGGCGGGTTGGTGACTGTGGCCATCATTGTCATCGCTCTTCCTCTCACTTCGGTCTGGTTGGAAAACTGTGCCCGAAGCATCCAAATTCGGGACTTGCCTCGACCTGGTAGGGGCGACTGGAGACGGCGGCGGCGAGAGCCAAGCGTCGGAAGCGAGTGCCGTGTCTCAAGTCATAACCCCGCAGCGTTTTCGCCCTGCCTGGCCCCGTGAAAACAAACCCGCTACCAGCCCATATATTTCCTGGTAATCGAAAATACTCACCAGACCCAGCCTACTACGGTTATTAAGCAAATTATGCCAGCAGCCGGGAGTATCGTTTGCAAGCTAAGGCACGGGATACATATTTTTTTTTTAAGAGGCAACAGCCAGACACGTTTGCAGCCTCGCCATTTGGCTCACCCAGAGAGGTTCTCCTAGAGTTATGTTTTACGGTCCAATCCCGGGAAGCCAACTGGAGAAGGGAAGTCATGAAGCACCGGGGCTGCTGCCTATATGACTCTTCCCCTAGAAGCAAGGTTGCTGAGGAAGATCCTGATAAACACTGGCTCAGCACCGGCGAGGAATTGTTCTCCGTACTGTACCCCCGTTAGCCACCAAAAAAAGAAAAAAAAAATAAAAAAAGAAGGAAAAAAGGAGGAAAAAAAAAAGAAAGGGAAAAAAATTCAAGAAAACAAAAAGAAAAAAAAAGGAAAAAAGAAAAGAAATAAAAAGGAGCCCATCGAGGCTGAGTAGGGAAGGAGAACGGGAAGGAGAAACTAGTTTTGGAGGAAGTGCTATTCCTAGGAAAAAATCGGGACCCTCTGCTTCTCACTCCTGCCTGGGTGTAACTTCTTATGCGGGGGCCTGACGGTGTCAAAACTTTAAAGATTAATGGATTACTTTGTTAATGACTCAAGGCGTCAGATTGAGGTGCTTAAATGATTTGTGAGGTGCAAAGCGTTTTCCTGACAGTCCCAAACAATGAGAGAAGAGTGTGCGGGTGGATGCGAGGGAGGCTGCAGGACAAGCAGCCACACACACACACACACACACTTGCGCACACACACACACTCACAGCCTCTCACACAAATATATCCACGCACACGCACCCTCCCCCCACCCCCGATCACTTCAGATTAGGACGCCAAGGGGATAGATACTCGACATATCATTTCCCTCTTTAAAAAAAGTGTAAATAAAGCCTTTCTGGCCCCCAATGAGGCGTTCCTTCCCGACTTTTTTGGATCAATCAAACAGACAGTGGCTTCTTTTGATTAAAGCCCAAATTGTCATTGGGCAGAGGCAATCATGTGACAGCCAATTCGGTCCAATTTCAACCTTGTCTCCATGAATTCAATAGTTTAATAGTAGCACGGTCCCCATACGGCTGTAATCAGTGAATTAGAAAAAAAACACCCCACCAGCGATCTTCTATGCTATATTTTTTTCTCCTCTCTCTCCTTTTTCTTGGGCCTTCCCCCCCCCGAGCCCCCTGAATCCGAGGGAACTTTTTCTCCGCGGGGGCTGCCAGTTGAAGGCCATGAATTTCGCATTTGAGCGAGAGATCGGTTTTATCAATAGCCAGCCATCGCTTGCTGAGTGCCTGACATCTTTTCCCCCTGTCGGTGATACATTTCAAAGTTCATCAATCAAGAACTCGACGCTTTCACACTCGACACTGATTCCTCCTCCTTTCGAGCAGACCATCCCCAGCCTGAACCCCGGCAGCCACCCTCGCCACAGCGGCGGCGGTCGCCCCAAGGCGAGCCCCCGCGGCCGCAGCGGCAGCCCGGGCCCCGCCGGCGCCCCACCACCCCCGGAGTACCCCTGGATGAAAGAGAAAAAGGCGTCCAAGCGATCCGCGCTGCCGCCCGCCTCGGCCTCCGCCTCAGCCGCTGGACCTGCCTGCCTCAGCCACAAAGGTCAGTCCAAAGACGTGCCGCCGGCCCCGCCGGGCCGCTATTTCGGCTCCCCGCATCCCCCTGGCTTCGCGGGGGGACGAGAAGGAGGGCGGGCGGGCGGGAAGGACGGAGCTGGCGGTGATCGCTGGAAACCCAAACTTTCCCCAAACTTGCTTAATGCGGGATGATTTATTTGAGTTGGAGCTGACCTCTCTTGTCTCGCCGTCCTAGAGTTAGGATATTTGACAGTAATGAAGAGTGATAGATTGCTCCCGCTCAGCTAAGCAGCTGATGCATTAATTATAAATTGCGGTATGGCTAATATAAAGTTTGCTCTGGTGTGGGGAGGTTGGGGAGCTGGAGGCAGCGATTTGGCAGAGGTGGCCGAGGGGCACGCAGCACAGGGCGCTCAGCAGTGCAACACAATGGGTTTACTGCATCCAAAGGCGGCCATTTTGTTGCAGTTGCTATTTTATGCTATATGGACATATAGATATAGACACATACATGCAGAGAGAGCACTCCCGCCCACCCCCCCGGGGATGCGATGTGCTCGGGTGCTGAAATTCAATCCGTGCATTTATCTGTTTTGTGTGTGCGTCCGTGCGTTTTTGCTTTTGCTGTTCTGGTGGTGATGCTTTGGGGTGCGTGTGGTGGTGGTGTTTTTCTTTTTTTTTTTTTTTTTCTTTTTTTTAACAGACCCCCTTGAAATCCCCGATAGCGGTAGCGGTGGATCTAGGCGCCTGAGGACGGCTTACACCAACACCCAGCTTTTGGAGCTAGAGAAAGAATTTCATTTCAACAAGTATCTCTGTAGACCAAGGAGGGTTGAGATTGCAGCCTTGCTGGATCTGACTGAGAGACAAGTCAAAGTCTGGTTCCAGAACAGGAGGATGAAGCACAAGAGACAAACCCAGTGCAAGGAGAACCAAAACGGCGAGGGGAAATTTAAGAGCCTAGAGGACCCCGAAAAAGCGGTGGAAGAGGAGGAGGAGGAAGAGGAGAAATCCCTCTTCGAGCAAGCCCTTAGCAACGTCTCCGGTGCTCTCTTGGAGCGGGAAGGCTACACTTTCCAGCAGAATGCCCTCTCCCAGCAGCAGGCGCAGAATGCGCACAATGGCGAATCCCAAACTTTCCCCGTTTCGCCTTTAACGAGCAATGAGAAAAATCTGAAACATTTTCAACATCAGTCACCCACTGTTCAAAACTGCCTCTCAACAATGGCCCAGAACTGTGCAGCTGGCCTGAACAATGACAGTCCTGAGGCCCTAGATGTCCCTTCTTTACAGGACTTTAGCGTTTTCTCCACAGATTCCTGCTTACAGCTTTCAGATGCAGTTTCCCCCAGTTTGCCAGGATCTCTGGACAGTCCCGTAGATATTTCTGCTGACAGTTTCGACTTTTTTACAGACACACTCACCACAATTGACTTGCAGCATCTGAATTACTGAGAAATTAAAGACGTCCTCTCCAAGGGTCCTGCTTTCTCCTCATTATTACTTTTTTCCCCTCCAGTGAATTAATTTTATTTTTCCCCTCCTTTTCCCTTGTCAGTATTTTCTGTTTGTTACTTCCCTCTGCTATGCCATTTTGCCGTTTCTTATGAAGTTTTAGTTGTGTTCAGTTTTAACCTAGCCACATTCTAGGTCCTTCTATGAAAGCAATATATGAGGTCTGTAAGAAAGTGATCATATAGGAATGTATCTTCACTTTCTTTTTATTTTTGTATTGCATTAGGATGCATTGTCATAAGTATTTTTGGTAGAATAAATTCTTGTTTGCTACAAGGAGCTTTCTCTTTTTTCTTTTTCTTACTCCTCTCTTTCTCTCGCCTTTCAAGACTGATAACATGATGGGTATCTCTTCCCATCCCTTCCACTATTAATTTACTAATAATCAAAATCCAACGTTCTGACTACGAGCTCTTCCCTTTTGGCAAATTAGGATGTTTATTAGAGAGGAAAAGCCCATTCAAATTCTTTATTGCAAGGATTATCACAAAGAAAAAAAAAAAACAAAGAAATTAAAATCGTTCACAGGTTTGATGGAGATTTGTTCCTTTTAATGGATAAACGCAGCATCTTATCTCTGTGAGGATGCAAAACTTGGAAATGCGAGCTGTAACAAAAGCATGAACGAACACTTTCTCTGTTACAGGCAGAACATAAGAGAGACTCAGTAGGATAAGCGTCTCCTGCAAAAACTAGCCAGTCACATGAACGAATGGAAAGGTTCTTTAAGAAAAAAAAATCTCCTGTTTTTCTAGAAAGTAGTGCTTAGCAGCCAGCAAGATTTTTCAGGAAGCATATCACAAAAAATATCAGAGTTCACAGAGAATGCGCCTGGTTACTTCTCACATGCTGAGCAGTCCAGAAATCAGCTCTAGGAGGAGAGGAAATGGAGAAGTTAGTGCCTGTGAAATCAAAAGGGTGGCAGAAACATAGGGGGAAGAAAAAGTATTTAGGTAGGAACCAGCCCTTCCACTCCATCATTTGAGGGGTGGTGCGGGGTCAGAACCGAAGATATTTTTCTGTTTAAACCTTGCGAGGTGAAGAACTGATAACGCAAAGGGGAAACTCTATGACTTTAAAGTTACAATTTCCTCCGGCTTCTCATTCTTCTGCCGGCGGCAGCAAAGACGGGCTTTCAGAAATCTCAACCAAATTGCCTGCCACCCCTCTAGCAGCGTTGCGGGAGACCCCAAGGCGGAGGGTGAGCCCCGTCCTTCGGGCTAAAAGCGAGCAACAGATGCCAGCGGGGCTCTGTCGCTCCGGGGATGGGGAATCCGGGGAGGGTGCGTTCGCGGCTTCTTGTGTGCATATGAGTGCGTGTGGTTACATTACACGGTCGAGCGGGGCTTGGGTGGGTGTTTGTGAACGGGGCTCCGCTGTCTGTCCATGCGAGGAGTGTTGTCTCCCAGCTCTGCAACACGCTGTGGAGCTGGGATGCGTGGATTATAGCTGGAAGGGCTGAACGCAATTCTTCCGAAAGTCATAAATCAAACTCTTTCTATGAATGAGAATGTCATCAAAGAGATCAATTGCAGGAACACATGCACAAATAAAAATCCTCTTACGTATTTGCCGGGGCTGGGGATCCCCGTCTAAAACCATTAAGTGAGAAGGCGTTTAGTCATAATTCACTTTTATTGCTCTTTTAAAACAACAGCTTGGCTGAGCTGCGGGCGGGCGCGGTGAAACCTCGGTCCTGGTTCTTCTTCTCTCTGCTCCAGCCATGTCCCTGCGGAAAGCGAGCAGCTTCATCGGCATTTTAACTCCTTTGCCACTGGGTTAAATTGGATCACAACGCGCGTGTAAGGGATGGGGTTTCTTTTGTGCCCGGATTTCCGGATGCTGACAACGCTTAAACCAACCCAAATCAAACCAACGACAACAAAAGAAAATGTGCTACAAGGTTTCAACTTTTCATAAGTTGCATTTAAATAAATGGGGGAATTCAGCGAGTAGGAGCCGCCTCCGTGTCCCCCGGTGAGCCCTGGGACCACAGGGAGGGCACACTCCCACGGAAAAGCCTAAAGTGCCGGGATGGCCCCCTCGGCCCCCGTCTCGTGGCAGGAAACGCGGAGCGAAGTCGCGGAGGGGCCGCTCCTGGCCTGCGGGCAGGGGGAAGAGGTAGTAGCTCCCTCTCGCCGGGTTGGGGAGGAGGGAGAGTGTGGTGTGCGTTCCCCCTCTGCTCCGGCCCTTCTCATGATGCTGCCCCCACGCTTAGTAACAGACAGCAAACCCCCACAGCCCCGTCAGAGAGACAAAGCAACAAGAGACAATGGCACGAAAAAGGGAGAGAAAAAAGGATTTCAGGATGCTGGAGACTGTAAGGAAATTGCTGTGATTCATCGGAATTTCTGGGTAAAATGGATCTCTTTATAGTAACATATTTTTTTTTTTGGCTGACTGAAAAGGTGTCAGCCCTTTTATTAGTAAACAGTCCTGATCGCCTGCCTTTTTTCTCTGCCTTATGCTGTATTTATAATACATGGTTTACAAGAATGAAATAAATGTGTTTACATCTGTAACCATAGCCAAAACTGGTGCAGAATAATACCATAAACGCCTCTGGAGTGTTGTTGCTCTTGTCCTCCACCCTGGCCCCCTGCAGTTTAAGAAACTGAACCTTTCCAGAGGGCCCTTAGTATTCCTGCCTCTGTAGTAAATCAGAACAAATAGACATACTGAGTGCACCGGGATAGACGTGTGGTGGAGAGAGCAGCCCTTCGGTTTTGGTTGACGGTAGAGAGGCCTTGGAGATGGCATGGGATAAGGGCTGACCTAATAGCAGTAGGAGAGCTTTGCACCTAGGAGAGAGAGTTGTAGTTCGTGTGGGAGGGAGGAGCTTGAGGGTGAGTATGTAGGGGGGTGTGTGTTTGTGAGGAAGGAGAAGGGGCAGGGTAGAAGAGCCTTTTGGATTTTAAAACAAGCAAGAACTGAGCGTGAGAACAGAGGGACGTAAGAGTCAGCACCTGCAGAAACAGAGGGAGTAGGCCCTCCTGGGGCTGGTGGCATCCATCCATCTTTTTCCAAGGTTAACGTTTTGCAGGATGTCTTTTGAAGACTTTTGCTGCCGTCCTTTCTGCCTGCAGATGGCTGGGTGCACCGGGATGGACGCATGCCCGGCCTTTGCCTCCCTTTTCATTTTCCCCATACGTAAACCGAATATGAGGTCGTAACATCTCACCGCCCCTCCTCCTTCTCTGGCCACGGACCCATTTTTTTACCCACCTCCCCAAGGAACTGGGAAGGGGTGGGTTTGAGTCGACGCTCAGTGCGGTTCCCAAGGGTCCTGGGGCCGCCTCTACCACTGGCCATCTGCCACCTCTCACCATCGCCGACTCGGGTGGAGGAGCGGAGGAACAAAGGGGCCGGGGCGGCGGGCCCTGCGCCTCCCGTCGCTCCTCTGCCCCTGCCCCGGGCCGCCTCCTCGGGCTGCGACCCGCGGCACCCCGGACAGCCGTCCCCACGCTCGGTCCCAGGGCGAGCGGGCGGCAGCGGCGCCGCGGGAACCCAGCAGATGGGCTGCGGAGCCCGCGGGCCCCCGCCCAATCATTTGTCCCCCTGCCCCCCGCCTCCTCCTTCCCTACCCCAGCCTCGGGCTGGCGTGAGTGAGCCCGGCGGAGGTGCGAGGGGAGCAGGGATGAGGGACAGGGGCTGGTCAGTGAGTTTGGGAGAGTACAATGGCCGTCAGTCCCAGAAGAGGCTCATTTCCATGCTAATGTCCACGGCCGCCTCGTGATGCAACTGGACAAGCCCCTTTAACTCTTGGCGTGGCGTCGCCCTGGGACTGCGGCGGTGCAGGACCAGCGAGATCCCTCGGCACCGGCACTATTCCCGTCCCCCTTGCATCTCCACCCGCATCCCATCCACATCCATATCCTCGACCCCGTGCTTATTCTCCATCTTATCTTTACCTTCATCCCTGTCCCTATCTCCGTTCTCGTCTCCACAGCAGTTCCCAGCCGCATTCACGTCCCATTCTCAACCCCGGTCCAGGGGCTGATGCTCTCAATGCTGTCCCTGCCGCCCTCCGCCCCATCCCTCGCCCCGTACCGCAGATCCAGTCGCCTCTCCCCTCCATCCCCCGCTTCCCCGACCGGTGGTTGAGGGGCGACATATGAGCCCCGCGCAAGCCTGACAGCGCCGGCAGCAGGGGTGATGCTGGGGCGCCCTCGCAGCAGCACTCACCCTGGAGGGGACGGCCGGTGAGCTCCGCGGGCCGGGCGCAGCCTTCGGGTCTCTCCTGCCTTCCCCTCTCAGCTGGCGGGTGAGACCCAGGGGGCTGCCGCGGCGGGGTGTGTGTGTGCGTGTGTACGGTCCGGCCCCCCACCTCCCTGGGGGGCTGCCGCCGCCGCCCTGCCCCGCGGTGCCGCGCCGTCGGAGCGCTCGGCGTTTAAATGCCCCCGACGCGGCGCTGTATCAGCGACAGGAGCCGGGGAAGCCCCGCGGGCGCCGCAGCCATTGGCTGCCGCCCCCCACGTGCCTGCCCGCTGCCGGCGCCTTCGTGTCATTTTCCTGCCGGCCCCATGGAGGAAGTGGGAAAGTTGGCGCGGCCCCGCCGGACGCTGAAGACCCGGTGGCGGCGTGACAGAGGGAAGCGGCGAGGATGAGCTCCTTCCTCGAGTACCCCGTTCTCGGCGGCGAGGCGGGAGGCTGCGCCGGGCGCGCCTACCACCCCGACCACGGAATTACAACTTTCCAGCCCTGCGCCGTCAGCGCCAGCAGCTGCAGCGGAGAGGACCGCTTCCTGGCGGGCCGCGGGGTGCCCATCAGCCCCCACCGCCACCACCACCACTCCCCGGCCCAGCCTGCCGCCTACCAGCACCACGGCGGCCTGGGGGTGTCCTACGCGCACCCCGGCTGCGGCCCGACCTACGGCGCGCAGGGCTTCGGACCGGCGTACGGTCCCTACACCCTGGGGCAGGACGCAGAGCTGGGCGGCGGCTTCCCTCCTTGTGCCCCCGCCGTGTACTCCGGGAGCATCTCCTCCTCCGCCGCTGCGCAGCACCCGCACCAGGGCTACGCGGGGGGGCCCCGCTCAGTACGTGCCTCCCCCTTACGGGCAGGAGCAGCAGAGCCTGCCCCTGGGCACCTACAACCATGCCCTGTCTCCCCTCCACGCTGGCCACCGGGAAAACGCCCGCTCCCCCTCCGCCGAGACCTCGTCGCCGGCGCAAACCTTCGACTGGATGAAAGTGAAAAGAAACCCACCCAAAACAGGTCAGTGGCCGGCGGGAGGGCTGGGGCGGGGGCCGCTCCTGTCTCTCTCCGCCGCGGGTGCGGCGAAAGCGGTGCGGTGCCCCGCCGGGCGCTGGGCAGGTAGGGCGGCCCGCACCTCTGGGACCAGTCGCGGCTGTCTGCCCGCGGTGCTGAAAGCCAGCGCCGCTTATACCTCACTTATTCCTGACTCCCACTTCTCCTCCTCTCCCACGGTCATATTGCTCGTAATTCATAAACCACTTATCAAGTTTCCTCTGACACTAGAGGCTGACTCCGGTTTAGCACCTCGCACTCCATCACTCACCCTGCCGGGGTTTCCCTCTTATCCAAAGAAGTTCTTGCTCCCTATCGCTTAGTCGGTGTGGACATATTGATTAAGTCCCCTATAAATCATTTGCACTCACTTACTTACCGCTGCATGTCCCCTCGCAGGCAAGGCTGGCGAGTATGGCTTCGTGGGGCAGCCCAACACCGTCAGAACTAACTTCACCACCAAGCAGCTCACCGAGCTGGAGAAGGAGTTTCATTTCAACAAATACCTGACCAGGGCCAGGCGGGTGGAGATCGCCGCCTCCCTCCAGCTCAACGAGACGCAGGTGAAGATCTGGTTCCAAAACCGACGAATGAAACAAAAGAAACGGGAGAAAGAGGGGCTGCTGCCCATCTCTCCTGCCACCCCTACGGGCTGCGAGGAGAAGGCAGAGGAGTCATCGGAGAAGTCCTGCTCCTCGCCCTGCAGCGCCTCGCCCGCCTCCTCAACCTCGGACACGCTCGCTGCCTCCAACTGAGGTCGGCCGCGCCCCGACAGCTGCCCGGCGCGCCGCCCCCGCCAGCGCGGCACGCGTCCCTTCACCGCCGTTCTGTCGGTCCCTCGGTCGGTCAGTCGGTCTCCCGAGAGGTCTCGGCGCGCTGCCGCTCCCACTCCCCCTACCTCCACCGCCCCCGCCTCCGCCCGACCTCGAGGGTGCCAGCTCCTCCGAGTGCCGGCGCCTTGGTGCCAGGGGATTTTTTTCCCTGCCCCCTCTCCCTTTTCTGCTGGAGGAGCTGTGTTGGCACGCGTGTAAGGGTCTCCCTCCTCCACGGCAAGGACGTTTCTCCGAGTTTCCCCGAGTGAACGACAGGTTATTTAGGGTACATAACCTCACAAAGAGATGCACTATTGCAAGTGTTTACACGACTTATAGGACTTTCATCCCCTTAATTTAATGTATTCTTTGTTCGTGTCTATGAGTTTGTTGCTTGTAAATACTTTGTCCGAGAGATTTATCTTTTTACAGATTTTTCTAGAAATGATGTTTCGATTATCAGGTTAAGCAGGGTGAGTGCATTCGCCAAACTGGACCCACTTTTATATTAGTAACGACCGTATCAAGTAAACATCTTAAGCTCAAGCAGATACCTCAAAAAAAGTAGCGCTATTTCTGTAATGTGACAAACAAGGCTTCAATTGCACTAGGTTTTGTAAACCTTATCCGGTGTGCTTGCTTCCTCTCCCTTTCCCCCTGCCCCAAAAGCTGTGTTGGATTACGCTCAACCAAAGGGTTCAACCATCTAAAATACCTCACCTCTTCCTATTTTCATATTAACCTTCCTTTAGACTTGATGTCTTTTCAACCTACTTGTGAATGTGATGAATGGCCAAATGAATGTATAATTTCTGTGGTTGGTGTCCAGACCATTGCATGACGCACCGTGCTTTGCTGTACTGCGGGTACACTGAGTTCTATCAGTTGTCGTGTGTGAGCGAAATGTCCTCCTGATTTTTCTGTACAATCATGAAAAGCTCTGGGATTCCACAAATGAGGGAAACCAGGGCAGGATTTACGGGTCCTTATAATGTCTGTAATAAATATATTCCACTTTCAGGTAGCCCTTGTCTGCATACCTCTGCATGACGTCAGTGCTGAGTCACAGGCTGGGCTCAACAGTTTTGTTTCCTATATTTTCTTCTACTGAAGCCTTTCCAAGGGGAAAAGGCAAGAGTCTCACAACCTTACTCCTCATGTGTTGTTTTGTCAGGGTTAGAGCTCTGGTTGCTCAGTCTGACTTCTTACACAAAGCTTCTTCCTCTCCTATGCTCAAATATTATTGTTAGAAAATATAAGGCCGTTCTCTCCCTTCTCCATAACTGGGAGGAATTTATGGTCCCAATCTATTTCTAAAACACAAACACGAGAACTTCCTGGGTCAAGTGCTAACCTTTTCACCTCGAGGTGGATGCTGACACTATATAAACAGAGCACCCTTCAAAAGCAGAAACTGTCTTCAGCCAGTCTTTCCTCACACTGCAGGCCTCTCTCCAAGGACTGCACATTTAATTAGCCTGGGCACTGAGTGAGTCTGGCTTCTCTCTCCCACCTCGGAATGCCATCCCAGCGGCTGATGGGATGCCGAGGTGGGAGATGGCTCCCAGTTCTTGGCAGAATATTTTTGTCGTGAACCTCAGCCCGTTGACCCTTCGTCCTCGATCCCCAACACTCCTCCTTTTTTTTTGGGGGGGGGGGGGGGTAAAAGAGCAAGCTCTCACACATAAATATAATAAGTATTACAAGAGGTGTCAAGTGGACAGCAGGTCGGGGATGGAGAGGAGCCTGTGTGGGGAAAACCTGGGTGGCAGGACAGAGCAGAGATACGCTCAGCTGAACGGGGGGGGGGTGTGTTTCAAGTCACTGATGCCTCTTGAATTTCAACGCAAACACGCGTAACATCTCCTTCACTCGGCCCAGCTGCGGGAAGTGCTACCGGGCTTCTCCTGGGGCCGGGCTGCCCACGCAGGCTTTGCTCTGTGGGATCCGCAGAGAGTCAACGAAATTTTCTTCACTTCGGTGTCAAAAGAGACAAGCCCTGATTTGCAAGGCGTGGCGGCCATATCAAGAGCCGAGCTATCTGCAAGGGAGCAGCGCTGTCTCCAAAGGCTCCCGCCGATGACTCTATTTCTTTCATTTCCCCGCCTGCCATATACTTTACCTTTTGTTTATTAGGGTAAAACCACAAAGCAAAACAGATGGCCTTCTTCCAGAGATTTGGATGTGTTAAAGTGGCATTTGCATGCCAATGAGGACATTTCAATATCGAAATCTGGATCTAAACATTGCTGGAATCCGGATCTACAACTCGGTTCCCCCGGTGCTGACTTAATGTGTTAGAAAGAGTGGCCATAAATTATAGCCTAAATGCGAGAGACAAGACATTTTTCAGTGTGTCAATCTGTGGTGAGCGATTCGCGGGCAAAGAATCCCTTCTCCTTCCAAGACCAAACCTCGGTTATGTTTACATATGTATATATATAAAATCTTTTCCCCGCAGTCACGATCGATTTCTAGGAAAGACGTTCCAAACATCCTGATCCTGCTTTATTTTGTTAGCGTTGTTATTATTTCGATACCATCAGCCTTTCGGGTCAGGTAGTCCGGGGAAGAGAAATGAAAATCTCTAGTTCAGAGTTTCTACCACAAAAATATCGCTAAAAAAAATCACAGCGTACTTTCGTGCTTTGCCCTGATGAAGACAGTAATTTGCCCTTCAGGTCGTAAGGATCCTTTTATTTCTGCACCTTGTAAAATGTATTTTAATTTTTCTCTCTAGGGTCTCAGGGGAAAAAATAAAGAAAAAACCCCCAACTCATCAGAACCCACCAACCCAAACCGCATCCAAATGTCAAACGGAGTTTAGCATCTTCCTATCATACTTAAGGCCATTTCTGCTGTTCACCTTTAAAGTTTACTTTTGGAGGCTATTGAGATGCTTTGGTGTTTTCCTCTGGGGCAATCAGATTGAAACCGATCAATATTTACTCAGTCTGAAAGGGCTGTTGAAAAGGCAGCTAACAACAAACTGCTTAGCTGCTCACCCCTCTTTAATCTCAGGTTCACCGAAAGTTCAAGCAGAAATGAATTCGGTGATGGGTCACTTTAGAATAAATCCCAGTAGTTAATCTCACAGCCTTGGTAAAGGCAACAATTACAGAGTCATCTCTCTCCCTCTCTCTCTCTCTCGCTGTCTCCCCGGCAGCGTCAACTTTCTTCTCATTTTTGCCCACCAGCTTTTTACTAAATTTTATCCGCTTTCAGCTGTTTTGCAGAAACAGCGAAAACTCGGCATCTCCCTCCCGCCCGCACTGCAGCCGACACCGGCGTTCAGACGGGTACCCCCGACGAGAGGTACAAGTGTGGGGGAAACAACCCCTCCCGCAAGGGATCCGGTATTTTCAGACAGGGGTCCGGGGCCGAAGGTAGGGCTGCTTGAGGCTTTCTACTCAGCAGTGACGGTGGGTGGAAGAAGGTGGCTGGAGACGCACCCGGCTGCTGGAGGCGCCGGTGGAGCCGTGCTCCGCTCTCCATCCATTGTGGGAAAAGAGTAGAAATCTGGGCAAAAGGCGATAGACAACGCCGTTAATTGCATAGATTCTTCAAAGGCCAAAGTTCACGTAATCACTGCATAAATACAATCTTAATAGGGATTTATTAGTAATTCTCTAATGGCAGTTCACGTTTGGGCTATAGACTCGAACGAGTTTTCACCGGCAAATTGCTTCTCAGGACAGGTACCCCCTCCACTGAGGCATTGCCAGAGGACCCCGGGCACGAAAGGCGATGAGCTCCCGGCCAGGCCCCGGGGATGTTCCGAACCGTGCCGTCCGCCGGGGCCGCCCGCAGGAGAGCCTGGGCGGCAGCTCCGCGCTGGAGAGGGAGCCCGGGGGAGGCCGCTCCCGTCCGTGGCATGGCCGGGCCCTGGACCCGGCGGGAGGAGCGGCTGTCATTTTTTTTGAGGGGGGAAAGAATAGTTTCGGAGTGTTTTTTTTCCGTGTAAGTTTAGCAGCAAGGTCTCTTATCTGTCTTCCCTTGGCAGTTAGCTCCATAAGATCACAGTAAATTGGTAACCACAAAAAAGGAATACATAAATAATTAACTTAATAATATCTGAATAAATAGGCATATAATGTGTTTTAAGAAATTCTTTTTCTTTCTTTCTTTCTTTCTTTCTTTCTTTCTTTCTTTCTTTCTTTCTTTCTTTCTTTCTTTCTTTCTTTCTTTCTTTCTTTCTT